AAGTATTAAGACTTTATTAGCAAAGAAATATAAAAACTTCTTGCGAACATCTTTTTTGTGTGTGGTCAGAGGATCAGCGGAAAGAGTTTTTTTTTCTAAATATAGTATAATATATAAAAATTAGTTTTTATTATATATAATTTTTTTAATCCGCAATTATATTACGATTGCTTGTCTTTATTGAAAAATTAAAATAAAATCTATAATGATTTATAGACTTTTATAAAATAATTAACTCATCTTTATATATAAATTCTTTAAGTCAAATTTTAAGGACAATATTACACTTTTCTAATAAATTTATAATAACTTCTATCTATTCTATCTATCAAGATCATTGTTAACAGTTTATTATTGTTAATTAATCTAAAAACCAATGAATTGCTAAGTTAAAAGGAGAAAAGAAGAAAATGATTAAGAAAAAAAGACAATTTAAGACTTACTAAAAAAGTATAAAAATAAAATTAAACTCTTTTTAAAAAATATCTATATAATTGAAACAGACTTCTTGCTTCATTTGAACCTCAGAAAAAATTTTCTTTTTTATTATCTATAGTATCGAATGAGTTAATTCAACTAATCTTTTATTTAAATGAGTACTGGATTGAAATATCTTAAGAAAAGTATTTAGACTTTGGTTTTTTTCATTAAAGTTTTGTTATTACTTAAGGAACTTAAGTAAAGTGGATGTTTGCAATCTACTTTTTTTATTACTTAATCTTTTGATGTCATAGAAGTCTTTATTAGGGACTTGAACTTTTGGAAGCAAATGTTTCTAAAATATTCTTTCTAATTACTGATAATGTTATCGAAACATATGAATGTAAACAATAGAAACTTGTTTGCATTTCAAAAATTAATATATTTTATATCAACCAATTACCTTTTATGAAGATTTATGTTACTCAAAATTCTGGATCAAATTGAAGTATACAAAATTCTCTAGAAAGCTAAAAATATAAGCTTTAAGAGGGCCAAGATAATTAAAAAGAGAAAAATAAATCCTTTTATTATAGAAAATCTCTATAAATCTTATACTTTAAATGTTAATCAAATTTTCAGGTATTTTATAGTCGGTTCTTCTTCTTTTATGAACTTTTTTATCATTGGTATCAAAGGTATTACTTGATTTTTTTTTTTTATTAGAAGTCAAGTTTTTGAGTAAAAAAGTTTATAAACAAAAGGAAAAATGTAGAAATGACTCTTGAAGTCATACTTCAAGTTGTTTTAAGAAAAATATTAAGATTTTATTAGTAAAAAAGTATAAAAACTTCTTGTGAATATTTTTTTAATATATGATCAGAAGATTAACAGAAAGAGTTAATATATATATATACTGTATATATATATTTAAACTGTAATTATGTTGAAACAGCTTTCTTTATTAAAATACTTGAAAAAATACTAAAATAATCAGCAAACCTTTTTACATAACAACTAATTTGTCTTTATACATTATTAGTTAAAAGAATATACTACTTAAAAAATATAAGGTATTTACTAAGCTAGTTTATATGAAACAAAACTAAGTTTCAATTAGATACTCTAAGTAAGATTTAGAGAACAATATTATACTTTCCTAGTAGCTTGGCATAGTGCCTCTAAATTAACTAAGATTATTGTCAACATTTGTTATTATTAATTATTTTAAAAATAATGAATTGCTAAAGTTGAAACTGGAAAAGAGAAAAAATAAAAAACAATTCAAAGCTCTCCAAAAGATTCTTATTTCATTTCATAGCCTCTTTTTAAAAAGAGTCTTACCTAATTAAAATATTCTTTTTTGCTTCATTTGAATCTCAGAAGAAGTTTTTTTTGTCATCACCTGTGATATCAGATGAGTTTTTATTTAAGTGTACACCAGATTGGGGTAGTTCAAGAGAAACTAAAAGATTTCAGTTTCTACCTCAGAAAGCTTTTTTACCACTTAAGGAACTTAGAGAAGGGATGGAATTTCTTTATATAAATCCATTCCAAGAAAAAGTTAATATTTTATTATATAGTATATTATAAAATATATTAAACAAAACTTATAATAAATCTAAATTTTTAATTAAGATATAAGCAAAACCTATTACAAATATTTCAAAATACCTTATATAAAATAAAATACTAGAATAGATCATTTAACATTATATTAAGCCTATTTGATAATTAGAAGCTAAAAATATATATATTTCAATTAAATATTTTATTTGAGAAAAGATTAAAGAATATATAATTCAAAAATTTTTGAAAAACTTTGAATTATTATTTTTATTTTTTCTATTTTTTCAATACTCTTAATTTGGCAATTTTTTATTTTTCAAAATAATCAACAATAATTGATCTTGATCAATTAAAGATCCAATATCAATCTATCAAATAAATAAAATATTGTTTTCAAAACTTTATTTGGAATATCTAGTTGAGGAGGCTTAATCTGTATTAGCAGCTCCTATTTTTTTAGTAGTGTGATCCTTTAATAATATACAAAAATTAGTTAATCATTATGCGAAAACATTAAGTTTCTACATAAAGAAGATTGATTCTAATATTAGATAAATAAAAACGTATATAACAAAATCCGAAAGTCACTATATACAGTATAATAATAGAATGATCAAGAAATAATTCTGCCCAGAGTTTGGGACTTGGACACGGAAAAACTACTCTATTATAGTTTAAGCGTTTTGGAATGTGTCTATCTATACACGGGATGAAACTTCAAGAAGCCGCGTTTGATTCGTTAATTCATATAAATTGAGAATCGATCACACCATGTTGAATTAACTTCGTGAGTACATCGTTATTGAAATTTAACAATGCATGCCTTAACCAATTAGATTTTGCCACGGAAAAATGGCGTACAGATTAGATAAAGAGAATAGAGAATATCATTAGACAATAATTTTTAAAGTTTCGCATTTTTAATATATCTGTCATGGAGTTTGGCGACGTGAGAAATCGGAAAACGAGACAAGATTCCAGGGACTATGATTCATCAGAATATGATAGCATAGATGATAGGTCAAAAGGAAAGAAAGTAAAAAAATCCCTTCTAGGGATTTCTACTAGAGACATGTATTATCTCGGTGGACTTATCCTCGTCGCCATATTCGTGAGGGCATACAAACTAGAACAACCTAGCTCAGTAGTGTATGTTTTTTGAGTTCTAACAATTCAACCACCAGACCAAGTGACTAATATTCTTAATAAAATAGCTTCGACGAAGTCCATTTTGGTGGTTTTGCTACGTACGAATTAATTTGTTCATCCTCTGATTGAAATGGAGCTTTTATCATGAGTGCTTTGACTGATCCACACGTTGCTTCTTAGAAAATATATCAAGGGTAGATTTTTCATGGATGTGCATCCACCGTTAGCAAAGCTACTTATCACGCTTGCTGGTGTGTTTGGGGGTTTTGACGGAAACTTTGATTTCAAGGAAATTGGAAAGTATGTGTAAACTCGGTTGAAGAGAGAAACATTGACACTGGTTTTAATGTTTCTTTCCACGTAGAGATTACCTCGAGCCAAGAGTTCCATACATAACGATGCGCTTGTTGCCCACCATTATGGGAATATTCGTCATACCAATTAGCTACCTGACTATTAAGTTGGCCGGTTTTTCAACAATTTCAGCTATCTTGGTATCAACTTTATTGATATTTGGTATATTTATTTTCTCTTTCTCTTTTTTTTTTTCACTATACAAAAACTTAATTAAAGAAACAACCTTTTTTAGAAAACGGGTTGGTTACTCAAAGTAGATTGATCTTATTGGATTCACCATTGGTTGCCTCCACCGCCTTTACTGTCCTGATGTGGGTAAAATTTCTTAATGAGCAAAAGAGGTAGGATCTTTCTCTTGATTTTTTTTTTTTTATTTACTACGAGTAATGTTCTTACGCATCAACAATATTTTATAATATTTAATCATAGACCATTCAGATTTTGGTGGTGGGTTTGGATGGCAATGACGGGAGTTGGTCTTGGGCTGACCGTAAGGTATGTTTCGATAATAAATTATATAATGGCTGGGCCTAACCTTCACATAATATAGTAATAAATTCATGTATTGGTTTTTGGATTACAAAATTATGGCAACACTTTTTGTCTGGTCCATGTTTAATTTGTTCATCGATTTATCATTATTAGCATGAAATGGGTGGGCCTTTTCACAATTGCTTTTGTTGGTCTGTCCACCATCAAGGGGCTATGGGAATTACTTGGGGATTTACGCGTGAAACCTGTGAGTTCCGGAAATTTTAATATTCGCTTACCACGTTTATTTATTAACATCATTTAATATTCAGGATACGTGGGCAAAACATTTTTTTGCGCGTGCCTTATGTTTGATAGTAATCCCAGTTTCTTTGTACATGTTCTTCTTTGTAATTCATTTCGCAGTTTTGCGAAATAGTGGTGATGGTGACGGCTTTATGAGTGCAGAATTTAAAATGACTTTGAATGGGCAACAAACGAAAGATTCTCCTATAGGTTCTATCATTATGATAATTATCATTATTATCATAATATAACATATTATTGGGACTCATTATTTTTTTCTTTTTAATAATAAACTGTAGATGTTGCATTGGGATCTACAATAACAATCCGACATGTCAACACTCAAGGCGGATATTTACATTCGCACGCTCACAATTATCCCGCAGGGAGCAAACGTGAGGAAAATTATCATTATTCTCAAAGTTCGACATTTGACTAATTAGATTAATTCGTTTTAATAGAACAACAGATTACGTTATATCCTCACATGGATAGCAATAATGAATGGCTCATCGAGAATGTAACCGATCCCAATGCTCCTGCTAACCCATATAACGCATCAGGCCCTTCGTGGATCACTCATTATTCGGTAATTCGTTTAAACCATATTGCAACTAGTAGGAGGTTACACAGTCATGAAGTCAGACCTTCTGTAACGGATGCAGATTATCATAACGAAGTAAGGTAAGTTAGCATAAAATTTCATGTTTAAATTATTTTCCTAAAATTTTTTTTTTTTTTTTTTTTTTTTTGTATCTATAATTATTTCCTTGAATTTTTTTTTTTTTTGTGACTGCATAATTTATAATTATCGTTTACAGTGCTTATGGGTTTGAAGGCTTTGGTGGTGACGCTAATGATCATTGGCGCGTGGAAATTGTCGAAAGCGATCCATCTGACCTTGAATCTGAAAAAAGACTTCGAACAATTCATTCAAAATTTCGACTTCGTCATATGATGACCGGATGTTATCTTTTTTCACACCGCGTAAAATTACCAGAGTGGGGTTTTGAACAACAAGAGGTCACATGCATAAAAGGCGGAACTTATCCGAATACAGTTTGGTATATCGAGAGTAATCAGAACCCAGATTGTGAGTAATTATTTTTATGTCACTGAAAGAAAATGGAATATTATAAGTCTTCTGAATATATCCTCTATAACGTATATGACAATTTCTTTTTTAAAATATAAACAGTGCCAGAAGATACCGAAATGGTGAATTATAAAAAACCAGGATTCATTAAAAAGTTCTGGGAACTCAACAAGGTTATGTGGAACACAAATAAAGGATTAACCGACTCTCATCCCTATGAGTCTCGCCCCACCGATTGGGTCCTATTGAATCGTGGCATTAGTTTTTGGTCAAAAGATCATCGTCAAATTTATCTAATTGGGAACCCTTTGACCTGGTGGACATCATCAGTAGCCGTTTTGCTGTTCGTCGTATTTGAGGCCATTATCATATTGAGATCTAAGAGAGGATATTTGGATCATTTGAATGGTAAACAGTTAGACAAATACTGTTATTATGTATTTATCAGATCATTAATTTTTTTAATGGTTCTGTTCCTTATCTAGTTGACAAAAAACATTTCGAATCTTGGGCCGGTTTATTTTTCATGGGATGGTGTTTGCATTACGTCCCCTTCTTTTTAATGGAACGTCAATTATTCCTACATCATTACTTCCCGTCATTATACTTTGCAATACTTTTAATTGGAATTGGTTTTGACTTATTTACATTCAGACTTTCACATTACCAAAAAATGCTCGTTGCCACAATATTTATATGTTCATCTATATTAATATTTTACTGGCTTTCACCACTAGCGTATGGTAGTCCGTGGATAAAATCCGAGTGCAACAGCATGAAATGGGTAGATACATGGGATTACGACTGCAATAATAATTTCGATACCTATGAAGAGTATAAAAATTCACTTGCCATAAAGGCGACAGGAACTTCAACTGAGCCCCCTATGACGGTAGACGAAGCTGATGTCAAGCAAGATGACAAGATTGAGGTTGAAGTGCAGGGAAAAGAAGAATACGTTGAAACCCCAAAATCTGAAGGGCAAGTTGATGGTGGACAAGTTGTGCTTGATCTGGATGCGAAGGAAGCTGTACAAGTATCTCAGGTCTTCGAGGTCCCACCAATTTCCCAGGAAAATACATTGGACATTTCTGTAAATTCTCAACAAGATCATATGGATAACGATGCACTAAAAGGTCAGACAAGTGATAAAGTTGAGAATTCAATTCAACAGGAAAATGTATTAACCACTCCTCAGTCCGATCACGAGGACAAAGTTGAGGATGAGTTGGTGACACCTCAGCCGGATCATGGGGGCAAAGTCGAGGATTCAGTTTCTCCTGAAAATACCCCAGTAACTCCTCAACTAGATAATCAGGAAGCCTTTAATATAGAGAACTAGGGTAAAGTTGAGAGAACCCTGTGTGTGAAAAAGTATTTTAAACATTTTCATCTCTCATCCAGGTAACACTAACGGGGATGGTTGATCCGCTTTATACAATGATAGAACTTAATTACACGAGATTAAAAGACTCCTAATGAGTATATAATTAATGCGTATATTTGTGTCATCCAATATTATCTTATTTCATAATGTATTCAACTTTTATTTATTTCACTAATGAGGCACTCTACTTACTTAATAAAAACAATACTGTGCAAAAAATTTTTTTGTCTTAAATCATAGCGTAATATATAACGGGAATAAAACATGTAATTAGCGAGATTACCTGTCCGATGAGAAATAAACTTAAGTACTTTTGTCATTTAATTTAATTGATGAAACTTCGCCATTTACAATTAACCTTTTTTGAAAAATATTCTCGGGAATTGATTTCGTATATCTATATTTTGATTTTTTTTTTTTTTAAAAAAAAAAAATCTTGCATTTAAGAGTACTTCTTAGTTTTACATGTTATTAACGTATTGTATATGATTCATATTTATTAAATAGGATATGAAAAAATCAGATAAATACATATTTTTGGTTTTTTTTTTTTTTAAAAAAAAAAATAATAATAATACAATCTTCGCTCAGTTATATTAATCATCTATCTAAAATGATTAAATCACGACATAAAGCTACAATGTTCTATACTTGAAATCTACCTAAAATACAATATTGTCGAATAAAAAAAGTAAATTCAAGGTTCTTCCACTATGACATCATTAGATACTATATTTCCGTAACCGTCAGGTGATATTTCATCTTCTAGTAACCTTGTACGTTCGTCTTGAACCAATGGTTTACCATCGCGACCAACAAGCGTATCCGTTTCGCCAACATTAAATGGTCCATAACCGAGACGCTTAGACCGATAGTGCCAACAGATGCACATTACGAGAAGAGTTCCCTGAAGACACCCGGTAACAAGGAAAACAATCCAGGTCGTCCATCTCGTTCCAGGACGAACGGCAAGAGAGTAAACGAAAAGGAAAGATCCAGGTGTTTGCATAAGCATCATAGGAATGCTAAGCGCGCCTACGGACTACATCATATTTGCATTTGGTTAATTTTAAATCATCGAATATTAATAAAACTTAATTCACGTATATCCTGCCTTTCTCTTCCAGGTCCTCCATATTTGAGGCAAATATTGAACTGATGCAAGCAACATAGAAACGACCCCAAGAAAATCGGCCCAATATTTCGCCGCAGAATTTGGGGATGACAAAAGGCATAAAGAAATAAGGGCGGTAAGAATAAAGTGTAGCGTCACAGTGATAGCAACCCCGACAGAAATACGCCATTCATGTGACCAACTGGTGGGCGGTGAATTAAAATGCAGGTGACGAACGTATGGTTCAATTTTACGGTGAGGTGGGAAATAGATCATGAAAAGGACGAATATCAAAGAAAACATAAGCCACTGAAGTGCAAGTTGAATGACACCGAGTAGATTTGCGAAGCAGTCAAATCTGCTCTATAATTATCAGTTAAATCAAAATTTAGTCTGCTAAATTCCAATAGGCAGTTAACATTGATAGCACTTCAATCTTTAATCACGAGAACATACCACAGAGCGGCAACATTGTATAATGGGAAGCTGTAAAATTATGATATTAAATAAACTGCATGTTGCTGATACGCATCCCAATAGAAGAAACCAAGGGCTGAACCCATCACTACATTTTGTTTTGATTATCCTATAATGCTACGGAAAGAGGCAAGGTAAGCATTTAACTTCTATGCTACATTGCAACCGGAAAAAAGATATAAACCACAAACCTGTGGGAGGTAACTTATAACCAATCCGCATACTATAAAAACACTAATAAAGACTTCTAAGGATGGATTGTCTGTATTGCATGTGGGCTCTTGTTCCATCTTGATTCTATGCAAAAGTTGTAGGAATAAGAGAAACTTGAAAAAAAAAAAAGTGCACTAGATAAAAGCTAAAATTTGCGCGTCAAGCGCCGCTGAAACAAGGGCTCCATCGAAATAGGGAATGTCACTTGTTACACATGAAAACCACGACGTATCTAATCCGCAGTAAGTCACAATTTTACCAATCAAATATAGTCGATGAATGATCGATCTATAAATTCCAATTTTGCATACGCCAGATGGAAATGCTTTTGACCTTTTAAATACTAAACATTATATTTTATGGTCATTTATCACAGTGTCTTTCTTTCTTTCAGGATCCATCGTAATGTTGTACATCCATGACGAAGAAAAAGCAAGTATACCTTGATATTTTGAAAAATCACATTTTCTCGATGATGATTAATCATACACCTGAATATAGTTTAATGTAGAAATGCAGTAAATGTAGTTTCAGCCTTGTCTGACTATGGAAAGATAATCGATTATTTTGTTATTTATTAAGTTGATCTAAAAAACTTTTTTTTTTTTTTCTTACAGAAAAACATCATTCACTTGTAGATACAAATGAGGTATGTGTCTCCTATTTCTTCCCTTAATTATTTCCTTACAAAATGATGATAAATTGGATGACGGGCGGACGGAAAAGTGTTTGTTAAATAAAAAATATGTCGAATTTCATCTTTTCCCCTGATCTTTGTTATAGCCGCATCTAATAAATACTATTTCTCAAGATAACGCTGACTGACCATTATTTTAATTTCCTTTCAGATGTTAATTTGGTCTATCGAAGGTCAGTTCTTTTATTTATCAAATAATAATAGTAATAAATAAAATAAAGAAATGATTAGATTGTATTCACACACTGAATTACTGTGGTGTAGATTTATAAGTTCGGTTCATCAATGATCTTCTTCTATATTCAACTCCAATGAATTTTGCTTTATGAATTACTAATTGTGAATTGATTTTTTCTCAGATATCTCGAAAATATATATTTTCGTAAGTTTTTTATTAAATTTCAAAATCATTTTAAATATTTGGCATCTATGGTAGCTCTTTTCTATTTATCTTTTTTAGAATTTGTCTATAAAATACTAATCATTTATATGTTAATAATAAAAACTATATAATTTATTAATTTTATTATTATTATTATTATTATTATTATTATTATTATTTTATTTTATTATTTTATTAAGTTAATTATAAATGTTTTATTAAAAAAAAATTCTTTTTATTGATCCTCTAATTATATACAAAAAAAATATTTTATTATTTCTTTGGGCTAATCTTCAGTTTACGGGGTACGATAATCACCGTGATATCTAAGAGGGAAATGTGATTATCTCGAAAAAT